CCCTGACGGACTGGCCGAGCGGGCGGCGAGAGGCCGGCGCGTCGGGAGCGGGCCGCGCGACACCATGTCGGCCAAGGTACGGCTCAAGAAGCTGGAGCAGCTGCTCCTGGACGGGCCCTGGCGCAACGAGAGCGCCCTGAGCGTGGAGACGCTGCTCGACGTGCTCGTCTGCCTGTACACCGAGTGCAGCCACTCGGCCCTGCGCCGCGACAAGTATGTGGCCGAGTTCCTCGAATGGGGTAAGTGCGCGCCGCGATCGCAGCCCTCCGACCCTCGCCGCTCCCCACCCGCGTCCTCTTCCATCCTGCCCCATGGGCCACCGCCTAGACCCTCTTCCCAGCCGCTCCCTGCGCCCTATTCCCTCGCACGTCCGTGTCCCCTCGGCCCGCCCCCTCATCCTGCCCCTTGGAGCCACATCCTCCGTTCCCACCCCCACCCCTCCCCCTCACCGGGCCATCGCCCCAGCCGCTTCCTAGATCCACCCTCCGAGTCTGGGTATCATTTCCTGCAGCATTCCCTGGGATATCCGTCCCACCCCCCACCCCCACCCCGGACCGCGTCTTTAGGGTCCAGAGGCAGGTTGAGGCACTCTTCCTTCCCACGCTGCTGAGGTGCGGGGGCAGCTACCTTGTCCACCGCCCCGTGGGCCGCTCAGCCCCCCATGTGCATCTCCTGGGAAGCTTACTCAAACGGGTCCTCCTACGTGACACTCCATCCCTTGGGCTCAGCCGGGGCCTGAACACCTCCTTTACTGTAGTACCTTCGAGGGTTTTTTTAAGGTTACATTTTTAAATTGCGAAAAGCACAGTGGATTTCTTCCTTGTGATTGTGACAGACCCTTGTCATGTCTGGGGGGGGGGGTCGGTGAAACAATCAGTATGTAGAAGTCACTTAAAAACTTTATTCCTTTGGTATTCTCTGCATGCCTTGTCTAGTTCCCAATTCATTCAAGAATGTGTTCATTTAAAGACCAGAGAAACTTGACCAACTAGGAAAAAATTCGATGGAGCAGTTTACTGATACAAAGATGGTTTATGGAGCTAGCTGTACCCTCCGTATTTAAGCACTGGTGGTGAGCTGCACTGCTCAGTGAAACTCCGCTCTTTCAACCCACCAGCCTCTGCGGGGAGAAGCTCTGGCAGTCGGCTACGTTAGAGATTGCAGCCTTGAATCCTTATGGGGCACTTGTACTGTGACCTTTTGGATTGCTATGAGTCAGAGTCAACCTGGTGGCTGTGGGTTTCATGCTGTATATTACGATGTAGCAGGTTTCATACTGTATACATAGTAACTTGACCGACTAACCTGTATACTTAAGTAGGAAAAAATTTGGATTAAACTACTTAATGGTAATTTGAACCCTGAAGACCGAATAGTAAAGTGAAACCCTTTGACTTCATCTCTCCCTAATGCTAAGATGCTGTTAAGACCCTCTGACTCTTGGGTTCTTATACCCAAGACAACTGAGAGGGAGGAGGCAGGGCCAAACCTATAAAAATCTTATCAGTCAGTCATTTGCGTCATTGGGCTAGGATTGAGCAGTTTGAACCAGTGGTTTCTTTGCCACTGATAAAGCTGGTATTTAAAATGTTCGCTGGAATTTGGCATTTTATTTGCAAGTTAAAACTACAGTTGCAGTATTCTTTGCTCATCAGTGAAAAGTTGACAGGATGTTTTCTGAGAACAGCAGTGGAAAGCTGCCAGGGCCCCAGGACCTTGTTTATGTGGGGACCACCATTCCTCATTACCTGTGACATCAGTAAATTCTGAATACTCACTTTCTGGGGTCCTTAAAGCCAGTGACATGGTTTCAATAATGAAACGACCTTCCATTGAGGGCTTCAATGTGTCTTCCGATGGATGAGTCCTCTGAGCGTTCCATTTGTCATTCCTCCCTGAGCACTTGATTTTGACATGCAGACAGGCCCACAGCTGAGGGCAGGTTAGCACAGCTAGTCTCACTGGCTTCTGGCCTGGGAGCTGCCTAGTGACTCTACGGGGATTAGTTAACTGCTGGGGTGCCCTCTGAGAAGCAGTGGGTTGAGCATTGGGCTGCTAATCCATCAAAGGGTCTGTGGTTCAAATTCATCAGCTGCTTGGCAGGAGAAAGATGTGGCAGTCTGCTCCTGTAAAGATATATAGCTTCAGAACCCTATGGGGTAGTTCTCCCCTGCCCTGGAGGGTCACTGTGACTTGGAATCAACTTGATGGACTGGTGGTCACAGTGCAGTGGCCTCTTGCTGTCCACACAGTGGACTGGGTTGGATGTCTGGATGCAGCCTTTGTCAGCCTGTGTGGGCCATAGTTTGAGATTTGACCCTTCAACTCCACGGCACATAACCACCACCACCACAAACGGAAAGAGAAGTTGGTGTGCTAGAAACTAGAAATGGCTTCCACTGTTCTATTCTGACTCTGTGGTAATTGTGATTACAAATCAGTTACATTCTTCTAAGAATTCAGTCTGCCCGGAAGTGTAAACTACAGTTACAGAGAGGAAAATGGGCTGAAATTTAAGGTGACACCTTTCTGAAATGTTAATGTACTGTGGAAGTGGTGTTTAAGCCTGTGTATGTTAACCTATACACCATTGTCATTCTGGAGTGGCTTGTTACTAGTTATGCTGTGTAATTGGAAGACAGCTTTCCGATCCAGATCCAGTCGTTGGCGGGGCACTAATAGATACCTTAACTTCCAAGCTCTTCGGAAAATCACCCACTCCACTGCCATCTATCTTAGCAACCTTACAGGACAGAACAGAAACCTCAAGGTTTCCAAGACTGTAAATCTTTACAGAGGCAGACAACCTCATCTTTTTCCCAAAGAGTGGCTGGTGGGTTTGAACTGCCAGCTTTGCGATTAGCAGCCTACTTTGCCACCAGGGTGCCTTCTTAGGAAAATAGAGTTTGTTCTTTTTGTTCCTGGCAGTAGTTTTTTAGTCCGTCTATACTGGCAGCTGCTAATCACACGCATGGTCAGCAGTTCAAAACTACCAGCTGCTCCACGGGAGAAAGATGAGACTTTCTGCTCCCGTAAAGATTTACAGCCTCGGAAACTCTGTACAGGGTTGCTATGGGTTGGAACCGACTCCACGGCTCATAACAACAACAACAACATACTGGCAGCACACCCAGTAAATAACAACAACAACAAAAGTAAAATATGCAAGAGAAAGATGAGGTTTTCTATTCCTGAAAAGATGTACCTCCTTGGAAACCTTATATGGGGTCGCTGTGAGTCGGAACCAACTCTATTGCACTTAGCAACAACACAACAAGTAAACTATGGACTCCCTAGATGGTAGAAATGTTTAAGCAATCCATGACTTAACTAAAAGATTGGTGGTTTGAATTTACCCAGAAGTGCCTTGGAAGACAAGTCAGGTGATCTGCTTCCAAAAGGCCACAGCCTTAGAAACAGTCTTTCATCATAACCTGGACAACAACAACAAGAAATACAGTAATCAGAGTGTCTTCTTCACTGTCCACTACATGCTTATGAGGCGGGGTTGTGTGTGGAGGTGGTTGGGTGTTGGGTTCACACACTAATGTTTGAAACCTCTCGTGTTGTCTGACAGCAGAGGATCAGTGTCTCCCCAGTCCTCATCTCTTACCAGGTGTCTAATGACAATAGTACTGAGCCCAGACTGTGAGACTTCTTGTGAAATCCTTGAGGAAATTTAGGAAATCTAAGTAATAAAGTATTCAAGCTTTTAGAAAGAAAACGTCTCAACTCTTAGTTCATTCTTACTACTGCAGAGCCTGTGTGGGACAAGACATTTCCGCCTTCAGTTCAGGTTTTTGTGTTTAATTTCCCCTTAATTGTGTGTATAGTCTGATTGGCACCCGACTTTGAAATCCCAGACCTTAATTAAAAGTTAGAAATACTTTGCTATTGCATGTCAATTTCTTTTAGCAATTTTTTTTTTTTTTTTAAAGGTACATTTGATACCATTTGAAGTTACAGCACATGAAACTCTAACATTTCTTCAGGTAAATAGCAACATATCTCTTAAGGCTAGGTGGGCATCTAGGATTTATTGTCTTTCATCTTTGGCATAGAAACTAGTTGGAGCTTATCCGTGTTCTTATGGTGCACCTGTGTAGCATTTGGATGTAACGGATATGTGAGATCCCAGCCTGCTGGCACAGGGCAGAACTACAGTGACCACTGCCCATGAGGCCCGAGGCCATGGAGTGGCTTGCTGTGTGTGTGGATACACGCCTCGTGGGGGTTGCTGAGCATGGATCCCAGTTCTGTGTTGTCCAGAGCATCTTACGCTGCGCTTCCTTGGTATCGTGAGCACAGTTCATTTGCCTAGCCTTTTTGATCTCCTCATTTGTGGTTTTCTTCTTCCAAGTGCAGAAGTTCCTCGTAAGCACAGAGTTCTCTTTCTAAAAGGTAATCCCAGGGGACACCCAGTCCGAGTGAGATGACTGGAGAGACACCTCTCCCAAATTTCACAAGTAAGGTTTACCTACCTGATAATACTAAGCACTCCACAGTATATTTTAATGTTAATGTTTCCTCTGCTTACAATGTCTGTATGACACCGGGACATTGGCTTTACAGACAGATTTCCCTAAACTGTAGGGAATTTATGCTAAAAGGCTAACAGAGGTCATTTTAGTCTTATAAATTGGTGTTTGAAATGCGTACTGTTATCAAGGTGTCTTGGTGTGGCGCTATAGGATAAGCAAGCACTAGGCTGCTATGTCCGTTTGAACTGCAAGGTTGGTGCTTCAGGCTGACCAGCCACTCTTCAGAAACCTTACCCAGGTTTGCTCTAAGTCAGAGCCAGCTCGACAGCACTTAATAACAGCTGTTGTCAGCTGACTCTGTAGCATGGGATGGAATAGGTGAACCCATGGGTAGCTGTGTCTGTTAAATCTTAGACTTTGAAGCACATGTGGTTTGGCGGGGATGAAATGGTTCTCCCTCCAGAATACCACTAGGCATTGCCTGAAAACGTTAAGGGGCAGTGAATGGCTGTGAGTTACAGAACTCCACATCAGCCGGCTGGCAGGAGCTGTCCTCCTGTCTGCAGAGCCAGATGCCCTTAGAGCCCACCTCCTCTGTTTGTGCTGACATCATTGATGCTGGATAAACAGGAGGCCTGTTAATTCCAAACTAGATTAAGTACAGGAAGCTACCAAATGCTTTTCTCAAAGAAGCAAAAGGTGGTTTTTATTTTTGAGGCTCATAAACTGAAAGGCTCTTGGTGGCAGAGAACGAATAT